AACAAGATCCAGTGAGCGTAGCGCAGCGAGCACAACGGCGTGGTGGAGGACCAGGATCACGTGGAGGAACATCACATCTCCGGCGAACTCGTAAGACTACTGCTCGTGCACAACAAGAGCAGAGTGTTGCAAGTGGACAGGAACCAACACAATCGATGCAGATTGCGACACCAGCCAGCCAAATTACTATGGCAGGTGTCTCTACAGACACGCCGGCGGTCGAGAGGACCATTGTAGTATTCAACAATCCTGTACAGTTCATAAATACAGCACCAGACCTCTCCGCCGGACAAGTAGGCACCCTAACAGCGGCCCAGGGCTCTATTTCCTTAGTCCCTGACAGTCAAACAGCGCTTGAGGATGGCCCTCTGTGTACTCCTGAGGAAGAGGCTGTTCGTAGTGAAGGAGAATCTTTAGGTGTAAGACCTTGGTACAATGGTGTATACGGCGTTCCTTTCAATCAGCAATTAAGAGGCGGCCATCTAGGCGCTTTCCGCTTCTAGACTAGCTAGAGTAGATGGAGTGAATAGACTGTTGTTGTTGTATATATATACATCCTATGCGATTCGTGTATACATCCTTTCCGATTTGTATAGCCTTGCCGTTTTACGTATCTAATAAGCGAGTGAATATGATTGGTGGAACAATATTAATACGGGCCGGCGCTAGGCTAGATGTAGGGGGGGGTGGCAGGAAGAGAAAAGGGGGGTGATGCGGAGAGAATAGGGGGGTGGTAATTAAGCTCGTCCATAGAAAACCTAGCTAAAAGCTTAGCTATATAGTATTTAGCTAAACTTACTAGCGCGCCACCTAAGGGGTGGCTTTTTTTCCTTCCCCTAATATATATATAACTAGCTAAACGTTTATAGAAATTAGAGTTTATATTAATTTTAACCTAAGTATATTTATCCTAGCTTATTTACGCTGTTTATACTCTTTCCTCTCTCTTTAATAATAGTTACGATAGCTTCTACTTACTTAAACTTTTAGTTGCTTACTCTTCTAGGAGGTACAATTACGTCCACCTTACAACGATAACCCCTGTTGTCGGGTTCTCCTTAATCCGCTCTATAGACTCCACCACGAATCCCTTATTAGCTTCCCTAAGCAACTCCCTCCAATCCTTCTCATCCCTTTCCCGAGAGTTGAAGAGGGAGAGCATAATAGCATCCATCGACCTCACCCCCATCTCCTGTAACAACCCTATAGTCCCGGGCTCCGGCAACACATGCTCCTGCAACACCACCACCGCCCCCTCAACCAACGCCGGCACCAGCGCCCGCAGCATCCGGATACAGTACTTATCCGGCCAATCATGCAGCACGTACCTCAACAAATAGACTCTCGCTCCTTTGACCGGCTGCTCAGCGAAGAAATCATGCACCTGAAATCCCACCCTCCCCTCCAGCCCCTCCGGAACCTTCGCCTCAGCTCCCTCTAGAACCTCACGCACATCCTGCACCACGAATCTCAGCTGCGAGAACTGCTGTGCAAGATGCACGCTCACGTGGCCCTGCGACCCTCCAACATCGACAACAGTGCTAGAGGAGGGCAGCGCGCCCCAGTCGAAATACGCCGCGAGGGCGTCCAGACTTGCGGCCGAGGTCGAAGACATGGCGCCCGCAAAGCTCTGAGCGCGCGCGGGGTTCTGGGACAGGAACTCGAACGTCGTCAGCGTCGTGGCGTTAGCGAGGGCATAGCCGCTTATGCTTGGTTCGGAGCTGCGCTGTGCTATTGCGTCGAGGGCCTACAATTTCCACACTGTCGTTAGTTGAAAGCTTACAAGCACGATCGCATCTCCAGCTTCATTGTCTTTGTTTTGGGCTTTCGGGCTTTCGGGATAACTAGCAACCGCACTCACCTTCCCGTGCGCAGGCCAGCACTCCCCGAAAGTGAGCACCATCACGTCCCGCGCTGGGCTGCTTTCAGCGAGTAGGCGAGATGCTGCGGTGTGCGCGACCCATCCCTTAGTTGGTTCGCGGAAGACGTGGTGGTGGGCGGCGGTGTAGCGGATTATGCGGTGGAGGTCGTGCTCGAGCAGTCCGCAGGCTTCCGCGAGGTTGGCGAAGGAGATGGAGGAATTGATTGGGACATTGGATGCGATGTTGAAGCGCGAAATGGCGGCGAGGGGAAAGAAGTTAGACTTTTGGGTGGGTGTTAGTGCGGACGGGAGTGGTATGCTTTAAGTGTGAAGCAGAAATATATGGGTTGGTGGGAAGGCTGCTTATTCTTACATCAGGAACCAAAAGCTTCATAGGCCCTTCGAGCAATTGGCGGAGTTCGATGGTTGCTTCAATCACGGATTTTTTCGCGCGCTCGACCTCGGGTGGAGAGGGCTGGGTTGATTGGGCGAAATCGTCTTCATTGAAGGATGGCTGAACAAGGCCGGTGTCGCGGATATGTTTGTCTACAACTGAGGTTTGAGAGGTGATCAGCTGCGCGAGCTGTATGATTCGGGAGTTTGACATTGTTGCGGTCTTCATGTGGTCGAGAAGTTGCCGATACCAGCAGGTAGATTTATATGTACGTCGATTCCAGGCGGTTGCAGACGAAATATCCCTACGTCACGTAGCGTGACATTTCGAGTCGGCGAGGGGCGAGCAGAATTCGGCAATAGCAGCAACCAACTGGAGATCCGACATGCATTAGACTGATAGCAATAGCTTATGTTCAAGCTCAGAGTTCATCATTTTTACGAGGTATATAGAGCATTATCTCTTCATCTCGGAACTCGAACCGCTACAGGGTCTAAATGACAGCGCAGTCACTCGACGATGTTCCAATCTCCTCATCCAGCACGTAAACTACCATGTAGGCAGCAGTATCATCGTCTACTATATCAACTATAGGCCCAGAATATACATCTACATGAACCCAACCCAATCCTATCTCCCCGGTGCAACCTGAAATTGATCATCGGCCTCGTGCCCATAGTGCGAGTTCGGCCCATACTGCCTCTCAAGATCATACAACGGCTTCGTATCCCGACAATACCGGGTCTCGACACCGCCATCAATGACCTTCACAAACGTCCCGTCGTCTACCGGTCCTGGTTGTAGAGTCACTTGCTCCAGCGTTCCGTCGGCGTAGCACATTATCGACTACCGCGGTATCAGAAGGCCGTTGTGCAAAAATTCAGGGGGGCAGTAAAGAGATGGAATGTGAATTAACGTACTGAACGCAAATAATCAAAGCAATGCGGCCAGTGTGCGTCGTCTCTCCAATCGACGCCGATGTCGATGAGACCTTCCCGTGCTTGCTGGAGCGCGAGTCGCATTTTCGCGAGGCAGTGCATTTGGTGGAACCTTGATTGGTGAGTTTCATTCTCACTAGAATTTCAACACGCGATTTGAAAAGAAGAGTGCGAGACCTAGGCTTGCTCACATGCTGATGCTCATCAACGAGCTGTTGCCTTTCCCTTTTTCCGACGGGATCCTGATGTTGCCTGTGGACATCAAAACGTGCTCTTGCCACAAGTAATCCAAGTCATGGTCAATGGACATATATCGCGTATCCCGATAGAACTTCGTCTTAACGAGGTTTTCCTTTTTCCAGGTATCGGCGAGATGGGGATAGGACTCTAGAGGAATCATGTCTGGCTTGCTTGGCGCAGCGGCAGTAGGCCTCCGCGAGCTAGTGCTATCGTGAACGAGAGTTACAAGCAGAATGAGAGTACATGTCGTCGTGAAGAGCGAGTAGTACTTCCAAAATGGGCTGTCGTTCGCGGGCCACTGCCAGTGGAGCCGTTTCCGCTGCTTGAGTGGGAATTGTGATTCTTCGCCCGTCAAAGGACATTCTTCGAGGTCGGAAAGGGAGCCGCGAGGTGAGGGGCCGTCGATGGGCTCTTTGGGGGCGTCGTAAGACATCGTGAGATGCCTTGAAAGAGACGTGCGGAGAAGTGGGTGGGGGTCCTGAAGGCTGCGCCTGAAGCAGGCTTTGATGAGAATGAGGTACGCACGAATCAGTGGAGAGGGCTTTATTGCCGAGCTATGCTGTACGCGAGGAAGTATAGACAGAAGTAAAGGTCACGGATTTTACCGGGACCTAGTCCAACTGGGGCAAGAGCATTCCACTCGCAGAGCAGGGGTAGATTTCAGTGAGGCATTTGGTTAAGATCGCCATGATGTCAGCCAAAACTGCCAGTAGGTGCAGTGTTGATAGTAAGATGACTCCCGAGGTCTGTTCAGAGGCGCTGAGGAAGATATGCTTGTCCTGTCGGTAGTTCTACATTGAATGGCATTTTCCTAATAGAATGGATCGACTTCTATACCGTGGCTGTCAGCATGCTTGAACACTATATCAGAGAGAAAATCCTATACATGTTGAACACAATCACTGAGGTAGGGTGGGGCTTCTAATACCGTGTAGGAATGTCATTGGCCGGGAAAACAGGATATATGCTCCACAGGATGTCAAGTCACGTAGGATTCTATTCCTTGCTGCATTGCTTCTACAGAATCACTTTTGCGTGGAGTGCAATATCAAGGCCGGTGCGGGGCAACGGTGTGATGATGCGGCCAGGGAAAATCCGGCACGCGTCGATGCCGACTAGCACGAGATATGTCACGGAAGTGGCGGCATCGATCTCACCGATCATGCACATGGACATTAAGCTCGGGTAGTAGATACATAGGCCTTCAATCCGACCTAGGCGATGCCTATTTAGGAACGGGCCGGTAGGCAAGCTTGGGTCTCGGCAAGCTTATTACGACCTCGCAGATTCTCCCAATATCCTCCATGCATCGTATCCTTCCTCTACACCTTCAACCCCTACCATTATTTGCCAATTCGACAGACAGGGGACAGTCATTTAGGTCTTTCATTCATTAAATTCTTTCATGTGATGCCACTCTCCCTCCCTGCTTATTACGACCTCGCAGATTCTCCCGATATTTTCCATGCATCGTATCCTTCCTTTACCTAGCCAGCTACCTTCACCCCCTACCGTTACTCACCAACTCGTCAGACAGAGGACGGTCATTTAGGTCTTTCATTCGTTTACATCTTTCATGTGATGCCGCTCTCCCTCACTCTCCCTGCACACTTCGCGACATCTAGTCCACGACCGCCGTGTCATGCGTCTTCCTAGCGCCACTCAATCCGGCCCGTCAAAAACAACGCCGTGTTTCCAGGGCCCTCGCCTCTCCCCCTCTATTAGCCCGTCATATCCACCGTCGCAGTACCCAAAGTGGGCCCCAAGCGGGAACGTGTTCTTGTCAACATCTGGTGGCGTATCACGGTAGCATGCCGAATTATCAGTAGCGAATTGCCTCAGAACGTCCCAATTGTTGCATTTTCGGTACTGCTCATCTCCCGCGGTGTCATCGCCAAAAAGATACAGTGGTGTGTTGTCCGCTTTGCACATCACGTACTGCCGCAGCATATCGATGCAATGACCTGCGTGCGGGGGATTAAAGTAGTAAGGCTCCTCGCGGTGTATGGCTTGCCAAAAGGTCTTGCGGATAACCGTCTGTTCGTCAAGGCATCAGCAAAATGTCAAATTACTGAACTTGCAAGGTGGCGGAATACTTGCCACGCAGTGGAGGAGGTGATACGCCTCCAGGAGATACACATTCTTGCTCGGATCGCTCGGTAAGTGCATGCTGTCTGGCCAATGTTGGGATTTCGCCCACTCGCGATCCATGGCAATGAAGCCATGGGCGGGATTGATGGCGTCCCAGAGAGCGTCCGTCTCCGTGAAGTTCTTTTCGCTGTATACGGTCCACCAGTTGAACCGTGTAAAGGTCGTTGGGAGTGTGTCAACTCGAGCTATGGCATCAATTAGCCGCTATATCCTAGACTCCGTATTTCGCGTTCCAAACTCACCCCAGGACTTTGGTGTATACACCGGATCTCCTGAATCGATCTGAGCAGCAAGTTGTTTAGTCGTTATGAGAGCAATGAGAGTCGAGAGGTTTGTAGCCAGGAGCAACAGTACTACTGATATTCTCCAGAGCCGTCCTGGCATCGTCGAGGTGGGTCTCGCGTAGCTGTTCTTCTCCTCGAGGTCGTCATCACTCGGAGATGAAGCTCCATCACGGAGAGCAGCGTACACTGTTTTTTCCCGTTCCATGAACGGAAACCTTTTAGACCCAAACTTGAAGCCAAACATGTTAGGAGAGATGTTTGAATCAAACGTTAGGAAGTTGAGGAATGGTTGATGGTAAAGTAGCAGTCTGGCAGACTAGGACAAGAAGAAGGTGCTGTGTGTCAAAGTGCGCTGTGTTACATCAGCGTTTGAGATTAAAAGGCAAGGTAAGGAGACACCCGAGATATGCAATGAGCCCCGCTTACCAGTGTACATACATATCAAGTGCCGAAGATAAGCAGATCACCGTTCAATTCTGCCCTGTATGAAGGTCCATGTCAGGTCGTTCTGTGCGGCAACGTACATCCGGAATTCACCCCCATCCGGAACAGTTCAGGCTACACGTGCGTCAGGGTTTCGGAGGGGAGGGGATTCCGGATGTACGTTGGGGACGTCAATTTCAACACCGGACATGCCATTCCGAATGAATCCGATACAGCCATTCTTTTCCCGGTAGCAAAGGTCAGGTAGGTTACCATCGGACTGTCTAGCTTACATCCGCTTTGTATCCCTACATATATGTTCCTTCGTCTACGTCAAGACGAATGTAACCAATTTTGTTTAGCCGCCAGCTGATGCTTCTGTAGATGCATACTGGGCAATGATTTTCCTTTCTGGTGTATGTACTCTATGCCTACTCTCAGTTGACCGCCTTCGACTGCAACCTAAATCCACCGACCCCATACCATTCTATGGGAAATAACGACCAACCTTGAGGGAGCGATCCTAGACTGTTCATGCCGCGCTTAGCGTTATATTCGACGCCCTGCCAGTTGTTCAGTCCGTGCTTTAATATATAGAGTGGAGAATGTTGCCCATCGCACATGCTAATCATGGCTGGTCGGCCTGTGTCCCCCAAACGGGCGATGGCGTGCTGTTGGAATACTATCACACTGCAGCTCCATTTCTCGATGCCCATGTGGCCAACTATCCAAGGAACCGAATGATGTAAGGGATTTCGAATGGTCGGTTGGACCGAGGAGCTTCGCGGGATCTGAAGGTGGAAGATACAAGACTGACTACGTGCATCCGCTTGACCAAGGGCCTCTATCTCCTCATCTCTCAAAGCTCTAGCTGTCGTGTCAGTAATACCAGCATTCTCCGGAACAGCAAGATCTCTCCAGTATGAAGTTCACACTTGCCTTTACTCTTGCCATGGCAAGCTTCGCTGCGGCGGCTCCTATTGCTGGTAACATTTTGACATATCTTTCTCCTAAAAGGTGATGCTAAGTCATGAAGACAAGCGCGATACCACCGCGTACAAAGCTCTTGCGGAGAATCCTACGCAGGTTGCCAGCGACGATGAAGTCAATCTCCTCGCTGCCCGTATTGGGTACAAGGACAAGCGCGACTCCACCGCGTACAAAGCTCTTGCGGAGAATCCTACGCAAGTTGCTAGCGATGACGAGGTCGACCTTCTCGCTGCCCGTATCGGGTACAAGGAAAAGCGCGACTCCGCTTATAATGCCCTCGCGGAAAACCCAACCCAAGTCAGTGGTGATGACGAAGTCAATCTACTCGCTGCCCGCATTGGTAAGTAACTTGCAGCCTTGAACGTGAATACAGGATGCTAACGCCATCAAGGCTACAAAAACTAAGCTTTCCGTGCATGTGGCTATTACGGGGGCTTCGAAGGCCCAGCGCCATTGACCGTGGGCGAGCCATGAAGGCAGCAGGACTATATTGAGGATTTCTTTGATCGACAGAATGGACCGGGTCTAGTCGGTGGCAGAGGTGAGTTCGGTGAGGTTTACAGCTGGAGTCCTATTTAGCTAGCCATCAGTGAGGTTGAGCTTGCGTCGAGATAGCCGCCAGGCGTCCGTTCTTTATTAGGGTGGAGGGCCTCTACTACGTAGAATGTAGATGAAGATGACGTGGTGACTTTAAGTGGATTACGTTGATTTCTTTCTGGAGATAAGATAGCTAGCGATACCATGAGCAGAGACTTCTCGTAACTTATCTTTGCTGCGCTCCCTACCTCCAACTATAGATGGAATCGCTCAACCCATGAATTTCACCTATTTGCCGTGACTGCGTATGCCTCCCTGGCCCCGACTATCTCTCGCGAGTCAACGGCATGAAAGTGGCATGGGAGCCTGTAGTGCCTACTCAGAGACGGTTAGATTGTCCCGCGGGGCGCCGTGTCCGAGCTATTTAACATCGACCGCGCACATTGACCTCTCATCGCCGTCTCCTTCTCTTTTTAAAAACCGTAATCAGCCCACTCAGTGTGCCATTCCAACCAAAAGATGACCCCGGATACGGCCTACCACCCCGTCCGCTCCTCCGAGCCCTCGGCCTCCTCAACCGAGATCGAAGAGTCGCTAATAGGAGAAAAGAGTGACTGGCACCCGCCACGAGCATTGACACGGCGAGGTCGGGCGTGGGCGCTTCTACGCTCGAATTGGTGGATCGTAGATACGTCACTTATCCTCATTATTCTTGTCCTGGTTGCCGAGTCGCGGTGGCATGGGTGGCAGAAGCAGCGGTACGAGTTTGCTGGCGATGTGACGGGCTTCGCGCCCCGCTGTAAGTGTTGTCTAATCCATTTCAGATGATATTTGAAAAAGAAAGGCGGGCGGCTGAACTCAGTTATGCTAGTCTCGCAACAAATCACGAAGTTCGGCCGAGATCTGTCCTTCGTCCCCGAAAACACGTCTGAGTTCTGGAGCGATGCGGTGCAGGAGAAATGGCTGAGTATCGTTCCAAGTGCGTCCTCCTATCTATATCTCTGTCCATTTCTAGCCGAGCTTGATTCCTAACAAATGGAACCAGAGGGGCTCGGATACGTTCACGTTGAGCATCCAGCCGAATATGACAACCTCCCCACCCCTATCCACGACTATACCAACATGACCGTCCTCACGACATCGATGCCGCATCAGTTACATTGCCTCGTAAGCGCTACCATGTCCTCCTAATACTCTCTCACTTAAGACACACGGATGTTGCTGATACGCGATTGCGAGTGCAGTATAACATCCTCGCCGTCTACTCCGCTATTACGTCAGAAAATCCTAGGGAGCTGCCAACCGCGATGACATTCCATCTGCAGCATTGCTTTGAGTATCTCCGGCTGAGCATCATGTGCTGTGGAGATGTAGCACTGGAAGGAGCTGAGACGACGTTTCCAGAGGGCTTTATGGGGAGCGATGGATGGGATGCGCTGCATGTTTGCAAAGACTATGGGCAGATTTATGAGTATCTGGATCAGAATAGAGCGAATGATAGGTTATGGATATGAGTTTTAAATTTCAAGAAGAGATTGTGTGGGCAGGAAAACAGCGGCATATTCTAGGAGGGTTTGTTCTTTACCGTTATTTTCAAAACATTATCTCCGCCAACATACCATTCCTTCGGACTTGCTGAAGATTGGATTTTATAGACTCAGGCACGAGAAATGAGCAAAAGATATTCCGGGCAAAAGTGAAATCCATCACGGGCAGCTGACATTACTCCTGCGTCAGCTGTATAACCGGAGAGTTATTAAAACAAATAGAGAGCTTAGCATGAAACACGCTGAGCCAGAGTGCCGCGCTAACGATGTCTAAGTTCACGTCCAACATCAATAAGTAGCACGTGTAATCGTCGATAACATATTCTGGAACATTTAGTCCTATGCCTCAGGAACAGTCGTACACTAATTTGGGGTCTCCAATCCTCGTGGACGATGATGGCGAGTATGATGATGCGTTGCTTAATTTGGCAGGCACGGGTGGGGTTTGGATCGCGAGCGTTGGGGAGAACAGTCATGGGAAGGATGATGGCAATAACGACGATGCCATGCTGGGGATGATAGTGGCGCCAATGCCATCGAGCGTGTTCAGACGCTTCGGGTTCATATTCCGGTCCTCCACTGTTTCTTTGATGAAGTTTTTCAGATCGTCTCCATCACTCTTATTCCACGGCGTCTGCACCTTGAAATCTTGCCACTGCGTCCTTGGAAGCCACGGAAGGCGAATTTTGTAGAGCATGCGATAGTCCGTATATCATATCGGACTCTTCTAGTGTAGATTCCGGTCATCATCTACCTTAGAAGTGCTTGGTAATTGTCCTTAGAGATGCGTACGTCAAATCTTCCTTTGATAATATGAGGGAGTATCGAGTCTTATGGTATTGATCGAATGCAATGTTAAGGCGGTCTTAGAAAACGCTATCTCTCTTACCCTTGTTGAACTTGGCTTCGTTTTTCAACGCTGCGAGGCGTATAAAAGGCAAGCTCGCTGGGATTGCGATTCCCTTTAAATGACGCGACCTGGCATCCACGCACCGATTGCGTGTGTAAGGAACATCTGCGGGGGTCAGCATGCTTCACGCTGGTCGTGGCTTACAGTGTGTACATGCGATTTAATGTGATTGAGACTGGTGTAGCGGGGTTGATGCGCGAGCGAAGAAGCTATAGAAGGTGGGGGTGTCAAGCAGTCGCGCTGTTGGAGAAAGGTCGGAGCGTGAGCAGTGAGAATTGAAATAGGTGTGAAGCTATTCCGTCCTAGAATCTGGGTTTCAGGGCCTGAAGAAAGGATGGCTGGACGTTAGGAAGAAAAGGATATGAAGTACCAAGTCCCACGCATTAATCTGCGGTATTTAGAGCTTCATAATCATGACTACACCACGTTTTCACTTCTCTCTCTCTAATTCGACCTCTCCTGCTCCATCTGGAATCTCGTCAAAAACCTGATGTCATCTACCTCCTTCTGCTTCTTCTCCTCACTCTCCCCCTCTTCCCCATCTGCTGCCCCCTCAACCCCCCAACCTCCTCCCCCGGGGGTATCGATAACAAACCAATCTCCCCTTCCGACCTTGAAATCCTTCCTGCCTCCCACTCTACACTACCTTCTTTCCCCGCCCTCCTTCTTCTTCGCCAGAAAATTGACCCCATTCGCCCCCTCCCCGCCCCCTTTCATCCCATACGGTCTCACCACCCGCCGCTCACTCACAACACTCATACCCATGTCCTTCCCAAACTCGTACACTCGCCTGATCCCGTTGCCCCCGTTCCATTTACCGCGTCCGCCACTGCCGTCTCTGATCTCAAATTGGCGAAGCACGACGGGGTAACGCTTCTCTAGGATCTCTGGGTCGGTGATCCGCGTGTTCGTCATATGGATATGCACGCCGCTGGTCCCATGCCACCCGGGTCCTGCACCGCTGCCTCCGCAGATTGTCTCGCCGAAGCCGAAACCGGAGTAAGCTGCATCGCCGTCGTGGCCGAAGGAGATGACGTTGCAGTCGCCTTGACTGGCGGCGCAGGCTTCGAATGCGCGGATCACGACGTCAGTGACGCGCTGGCTAGTAATCGGATTACCCGCGCACACAGCAGCAGTGGCAGAAGGGTTGAGTATGCTGCCTTCTGGAATCGTGAAAGTAAGAGGCCGGAGACAGCCTTCGTTGAGGGGGATGTCTTGCGCAATGAGGCAGCGGAGGACATAAAGGATGGCGGAGCGAGTGATTGCGGCCGGTGCGTTGAAGGAGTGGTAGCCTTCCTCGCCTGTGCCTGTGAAGTCGAAGTGGGCGGATGCGGTGGTGGGATCGATGGTGATGGTGAGGGCGATGGGAGTGCCGTCGTCCATGTAGTCGATGGCAGTCAATGGCTCGCCTTTACGTTCGGCGTGGGTGCGGAGGAGGAAAGCGCGGACAGCCGATTCGGCGTTGGAAGTGATAGCGCGCATGTTGAAGTGGACCGTATCGAGACCATGTTCACCTATAAGGTCTGTTACGAGAGCAGCACCTTTAGCATTGGCGGAGACTTGAGCTTTGAGGTCGTTGAGGTTGTCGGCGAGGTTGCGGGTGCCGCTACAGCCGCGGAATTGGGCTGGGTCATGAAGGAGAAGCTTCGTCATGCCCTCTTCGTCGAAATGACCATCGCGGACGAGGAAGTGGGATACGATCGTTGCGCCTTCTTCGAAGAGCTCGACGCTGCCTGCTGGCATGGAGCCGGGGAGGATGCCGCCGATTTCTTGGTGATGACCTCTGGAAGCGGTATAGAAGATGATCTCTTTGCCGTCGGCGGAGAAGACGGGCGTGATCGTGGTTATATCTGGTAAGTGTGTTCCTCTGAGACTGGCATTAGCATAGATCTAGTCAGTGTTACTATAAATATAGGCTAGCTTACCCCGAGATGGGATGGTTGGAAACGACCACATCGCCAGGGCGGAGTTTTCCTTCGTACAGTTTGTGCTGATACATGACTGCTTGTTCCATTGAGCCCAGGTGGACAGGAACATGAGGGGCGTTTGCAACTAATCGACCGTCGGGGCTGAATAGAGCACAGCTGAAGTCCAGTCGTTCTTTGATGTTGACAGAGACTGAGGTCTTCTGGAGGGCGTGTCCCATTTGCTCAGCGATGGACATGAAGCGATGAGCCATGACGGAAAGCTGGACTGGGTCAACGACTCTATTCGCGATATCTGAAGTGATTTCTGATACAGCACTCTTCTGATCAAGCTCAATGACAACGTGGCGGTCGAGAATGATGGCCTTGGACTTTGGGCTGACGACGATGGTCTGGGTATCGTCTAAGATAATGGCCGGTCCGCTGACAAGATCTCCAGGAGAGAGCGTTCCAAGAGTATACAAAGGTGCCGTAGACCAACCATCCTCGAAATACATCTTAACACTGTCTACGGCTTTCTTCGATGAAACGGGTTTAGGTGGGAATTCAGAGAGGTGCTTGCTCAGCGTAAAGGTGGGCTCTATTGAAGGGCTCCTTGCGGTAGCACGGACTCGTACGTCTTCGACTAAGACATCTCGACCAGGCATGATGAATGAGAACTGCCTCTTGTGCTCAGCGACAAAGGCCTCAGCAAAGGTCCCTGATTCGGGTCTTTGAATCATGAAAGTCGTATCCGAGCCGGCATAACATAAATTAAGGAAATGTTCGAAGCTCATCAGCTTTTCCGGAACTCCCTCGTGAGCAAGACTCTCGACAGCAGTCTTTTCGAGATTCGCAAGTCGCTGATCCAACTCCTCCAGTGAGGTCTCGAGATTAGTAGAACACGGTTCTTGGACATCATGAACGAGGTCTGCCAGCGTCATACCATAGGCCGATAGAACAGATGAGTATCTGTGTACGAGAATTCTATCAATACCAAGGTTTGAAGCAATACCCTAATCATCGTTAGCAAAAGCGTAGCAATAGCTCCGATTGACAGTCTTACGCAAGCATGCTGTCCACCAGCTCCACCAAAAACTGCAAGATCATGATCAGATGTCCTGTAGCCCTTAGCCTCCGTGAGCGCCCTGATGGGTCGGCACATAGTCTCGTTGGCCACCTCCAGGAATCCAAGGGCGAGGTCTTCAATCGATTTCGTCTTTCCACCGGATGCTTCAAGGTCTGCGTTCACTTGGAATGCTAGTTTTTGAAACGCAGCACGAGCTCCTTCATAGTTGAGCGGCTCATTTTCGCCTTTGCCGAATATCTTGGGGAAATAGTCGGCTTGTAGTCGACCAAGGACTAGATTTGCGTCCGTGACAGTCAATGGACCTCCTTTGCGGTATGCTACCGGGCCGGGATGGGCACTGGCTGACTCGGGGCCGGCTAGAAAGAGACCGTTGCGGTATGAAAGTATACTTCCGCCGCCTAAGATATGTGTTAGTGAGCCAGAAATCAGTAATAAAAACACCGAAGCTTACCAGCAGCCACGGTATCAACTTCGAGCTGAGGTGATTGAATTGTAATACCAGCCGTCATCGACTCAAAGGTATGCTCAAGAGCTCCAGCAAATCTCGAGACATCGGTGCTGGTACCACCCATGTCAAAACCAATGATGGGCTTCTTCCTCTCCAGATCGTAGCACGTGCGGCTCATGCCCACTACACCCCCAGCCGGACCAGAGAGGATAGCTTTGAGCCCACTGAACTTCTGCCAGCCAACTAAGCCTCCGTCACTTTGCATGAACTCGCACCTAGCGCCCTTGGTGTCTTCGAGGTCGCCAACGAAGCCTTTCCTGAAGCCATTGACATATGCGCGTGTGAGCGGAGTCAAGTACGCATCAGCAGTAGCTGAATAGCCTCTCGAGACAGCTTTGATCATAGGGAAAATCTGAGAGGAAAGCGAGATCTGAGTGAAGCCAATGTCTGAAGCAATTTTTGCGAGTTCAAGCTCATGGTCGGGAAAGGTGTATGAATGCAAAAGCACCACAGCTAGAGATCTAACGCCGGAGTCGTAAAGCTGCTGTAAACCCTCTCTCGACTTCTCGCTGTCTAGTTGCTGGAGAACTCGAACTGGCTCTCCTGAGAGGCCTGTTCGCAGATCGTACGTCTCGCCCTCGAGTGGGTGTATGGGCGCCGCGTCCTCGGTGGCTGTATGCAGCGTGACTCGCTCGTCGATTTCTAGCACCTCTTTGAAGAGAGTCTCGGGTCTTCGGATGTTGAGATCGAACAGCCGTGGACGCGTTTGGTCTCCTATTCGTAGGAGATCTTTGAATCCCTTAGTAACTACCAGAGCACAAGGCGTCGAGCTGCGCTCCAGTAGAGCATTCGTGGCTACCGTTGTACCCATCTTGATGCTTTCTACTCTATTTAGCACACTTGTGTAGAGCTTTCGTGTCAACTTAGCTCACCTATCCCGCTAGTATCAATTTTCTGCCCTCGTAGTAACTAAGTCCCCGTCGCAGTCTGCAGAATGCGTCTGATGCCCTCTGTAGGCGCATCTGCATAGTTTGCGGGATCATTGCTTAGCAGCTTGATGAGAATATCTGGCCTTCCAGGAATGATGCCTAGACAATCCGTGAATGTTCCTCCACGGTCAATGGCGATTCGGATCCGCGAAGCTTGGGAGCTCCGCCCGTCATCTACGAAAGGCATACTGCGTATTGATGGAGGTCGCAAAGTCAATGGAAACAGCAGGACTAGAGGAGAGCAGGAAAGAGATGGGAACTGTGTTGATGTGGTCTCAAATTGGTACTTGAACGTCTTTTTCCGCCGCGCAATTCACGCATCCCTTAACAAGTAGAATACTGACAACGAGTCCAACGCACCGCGCCTCAATTCGCTGATGGCATCAACGTCCTCCTCTGGGCGGAAGCCCGTCCCCGCCTGCATGATGATAACGACGACAGGGGAGCTCTGGGTGGTGGCAGGGTGCACACAGGGTGGATGTGTTGACGGCAGCGGGGAAAACTGTCGTCGGAGTCTGCTGTGCGAGCTTCGGACGGGCATCCGCCACCGCTCTCTCCACCCCAACCTCGACCATATCGGTACGAAGTATGCCGCGTTACCTCCAAACAATGCCCGAAGAGCCCTAGGACACTGCGACCCCGAGCCATGCCATCATGACGCCCATTTGAGGCGCCATTGGGCCATGAAAGAAGCTCTGGTAAACACCACGCTTTTGTCCCATCTTCCTCATCATCCCTCATCACCACGATGCTAACCCCGATCAACCTCCAATTAGGCTGGCCCTCGCCCTCCCTCTTTCCCGCCACCTCCCTCCTCGCGGGTGCATCTACCGTCCTGACCGACCCATCTAAGATCGCGAGCGGTCTCATCTATGGGCCAGACGAAGGCTACCTGCCTCTACGAAAAAGCGTCGCGGATTGGCTCTGCTCCACATACGCCCATTCCTCCGTCGCACCGAACTATGAGCGGATATGCATTACGAATGGGGCGTCAGGGAATTTAGGAAACATACTCTCCAAGTTCACGGATGCGAGATACACGCGCAGGATATGGATGGTCGAGCCCTCGTATTTTCTGGCATGTCCCATCTTCCACGACGCGGGCTTCGAGGGCAAGCTGAGTGGTGTGCCGGAAGATGAGGAGGGGTTGGATATCGAATTCCTCCACTCTAGTCTCCAAGAAACTGAAAACGAAGTCAAGAAGACTGGCGGCGAAGACGTCCCGCTGCTCAAAGGCGGCGCTGGGTACGCGAAGCTGTACAAGCACTTAATATATCTCGTTCCCACCTTCTCGAACCCTTCGGCGAAGACGTTGAGTTTGCAACGGAGAGAAGAGCTCGTGCGTTTGGCGAGGCAGTTCGATGCGTTGGTCGTCACGGATGATGTCTACGATGTCCTCCGTTGGCCTGAAGACCCCAATGCCCCGGTGAGCAGGTTAGGAAAGCCGCCCCCCAGAATTGTAGATGTAGATGCAACGTTGGATGGCGGTCCCGTAGACGAGTGGGGCAACACCGTGAGCAATGGAAGCTTTTCTAAGATCATTGCGCCTGGGTGTAGGGTGGGATGGGCTGAGGGAACTGCAGCATTTGCGAAGCAGTTGTCGCAGGTGTGAGTAATTCTTCCCAAAGGTGATCAAGAACGCGATAGTGATTGTTCCTTCAGTGGTTCAACACGCTCCGGGGGAGCACCCAGCCATCTTGTCCCAACTTTCGTCCACGAAATGCTAGTAAATGGAACATTAGACAAGCACATCACCGAAACACTCGTCCCAGTTTACCGCGCTCGCTACTACGTCCTCATGGATGCCATCCGAGAGTATCTCGTACCTCTAGGCTTTGAGCTCTCAGTTGGGAAGCCATACGAGGCGTCTCTCAAGACCACCACCAAAGTTAACGGCACGAACAGCATCAATAGCACAAACGGCGTGCACCAGAACGGCACTTCGAGTCCGATCCGAGAAGCAGGCGGCTTCTTCACTTACCTTCTTCTCCCCGCTGGCGTCCCCTCCGCAAGCGATCTCGCCACAAAGGCGCTCGACAAATACGAGCTCAAGTTCGCGTTCGGAGACATGTTCCAGGTCGCTGGTGATGTTAAAAGCGCTGAGAGGGCTGCAAAGGGGTATGGAAGGGGGATACGGTTGTGCTGGGCGTGGCACACGGAGGAGGATATCAAGGAGGGCATTCGGCGGTTAGCGATGATTTCGCAGGAAGCGAAGAGTGGGAAGGCGTGATAGAAAGTGTGTATAGTATATATACATTTAACGAGAGCATCCGATACGGTTCGATCTATAACTACTTATATCATGTATAAAGGCTTAGTGAAATGAAACCTAAAAATAATACTTAAGGCCTAGCGCCTAGCTGTGACGCTCCTTGGGGCTCTCCACTGGGTGCTGTGGTACTCACTTGGAATTTCTTACAGGGCTAAGAAGTCAATCCATTGGCACTTACTTGATGCTGTCGATGGTACTCCAGCAAGCTGAATAGTTAGTCCAAAGAGCGATCTTCTCGTTCCAGCTCTGCCGTTCAATACAACAATCAAGTTGCGAGTCAGATTCGCACTTCCGAGAACATGACATGGAGTTCGAATCTTTTCGAGTGTGCTGGAGCACTCCCGACAGTGGCAAACTATCGTTACCCTCGCTAGCTGTGGGCCTAATTCGCATGCGCTAAGATCTGACATTTCCTGCAGACTTGGAAGCAGCGTCGAAGCGCCCCAGGCGGTAGCAGAAGGGCGTTCGAAATCAGATCGTCAAACGTTACAAATAGTTTTATTCTATCAAAGACAACGCGAATGCTGTCCCATCTTATGCACATCAGGCCTTCTTGACCCGCATTCCCATATCTGAACCACCGCTCAATCTCAAATCTATGGTATCTCCCCTCCATGTCTTCTCCGCGTTTTATACATAAAGTCATAAAAGCAAGACCAAGCCATCTCCCCAATCTCAAATGATGCTCCTACTTCAAAAGCGGCCTCGACCTCGCCTCAATCCTCCCACTCCTCCTCATCTTCTCCTTCGTCTGCTTTTGCACACCCCGGGGTTTCGATGCCTGTGTGGCCTTGATCGGCCTGTGACTGCTCTGTACCGCAGGCCCCGCTGCATCGGCGAAGAACTTGACAACCATCTCCGCGGCCCTCAAACTATCATCGTCCGCATCGATCGCTTCTAGCACCTCTTTGACCCTCGCGTCATCCCAGCCGGCTATTTTGCCAAAGATTTTGATTGTTTCCGAGTTCACGAACCTATCGAACTCGAAATGACCTTGGAATGTAAGGATACGAGAGGGCTGGTAGACACCCTGACAGTGGCAGTGAGGCGTGCTACCTAGCAGAACCCAATCCGAAGGGAGGGAAAACGGAGCGGGAGAGTGATGGGATGGAGTGAGGACGACGTGATCGGCGTGGACGAACTGGAGGCGGAGGATTGAGGGGTCTGCTGCAGAGGCCTCTGCTGACGGCGAAGATGTAGGCGATGGAGTGTCGTCGGGGGTGGGAAGTTGCTTCAATTCCTTCCCCGCCTCCTTCATGCCCGTTGACTTCATTGCTGAAAACGCCCCCAGAAACTCCTTCGCAAGCCTAATCTCATGCACCCCAACCTCCCACCCGCTCCCATCTCTCTCAACCCTCACGCCATACTCCCTCAGCAGACTCTGACATACGATCTGGTGTCCGAAACAACTCCCAAAGATCTTAATTTTCGGGTAATTGACATAGATGAACGAAATCCAGGCATCGAGTAGCTGGACCCACGGCGTTTTGTCGTAAGAAGAGGCCGCGGAGCCGGTGATGAGAATGCCGGAGAGGGTGGGGAGGAGCGCTGTTGGGGGATATAGGCCGGCGACGATATCGTAGGCGGTGGTTGTGATGGTGGGCCAGGAAAGTCGAGATGATGCGTCTTGTAGGAGGGAAGTGAAGATGTCGCTGTAGAGGCCGCGTTTAGCCAGGACGGTGGGAACGGGAGTGTCGGTGTCTAGGATGGCGATGTGGAGGGTTGAGGGAGACATTGCGTGTGAGAGTTATTCTCCCTCCTGGCTAGCGGAAAGATGAGAATCGTGTATGATATTGAGATAAAAACCTGACCGTGGCAGGCAACGTAGCGAGATAATGTGGGTTTTGGCACGTGACGCAGTATAAGGATGAGAGTTGAAGCTTTCAGAAAGTTCAAAGCTTTACTCGCGATGTTGAGGTTGTAAAGGCTCCAGGATAGAGATATCGAACAGAAATGGCAGTAATAGGAACTAGTAATGGTAAAGATTGTGCCCAAAATAAATTACCATGCCTTCGAACACGAATTCGCAGTCGTGACTTTTCTAACCTCCATCATCAACTCCATCCCGAAGATGCTTCCCCATCGCACGTCCATCCGAACCCAGCACTCCGCATCGCGACAAGCATCCAGAAGTCGAGGTTGTAGGCGAAAACGCCGATAGGAGAAAGCGGCCGAAGAGAGTGCGACGACGTAGCTCGAGACGGCCCTCTGGCTCCGATAGCCACGACTCGCGACACCATGCTTGCCCGCCGAGTCTCCGCAGTATGGGCAGCCTCGCCACCAGCACCAGGCACCGCTGGCACGACTCTTATCAGCAACTTCAATAGTTCTAGAGAATGCCGGGGCTCGCGCTGCGTCGAGGGCGAGCTGGCAGCGGTCTAGAGATACCTATCTTGAACTCTTAGATGCGTACGCGGCATCGGTGGCATCTCGGACGACGAGGTAGTCATCGCAGAGAGGGCTACAAAAGACGGGGGTCCCAGGGACTACGAAGAGCACATGCAGCCGTTTGCCGATCACTGAGTTCCAACTCTCTGGGTCACTACTACTTCTTAACTCCACTCTGCTACCACTGGGTGGCTCTACTTGTCTTCTTCATATCCACACCATCGGGATACCATACTATCCTAAAGTTCATTGCCTTCCATGGCCGACTTCAAAGACACCAAGATGACCGTCAATCCGGGTGAGGCGGGCGATACCGAGTCCATGAAGCATGGCTATGTCTCCAACGACGTCGACATTGCTGCCGCTTATGCCGGCCAGCTCGATGGCGAGAATGCCTACACCCGCAAGGAACAGGTCCGGCTGCGATGGAAGCTAGACTTGCGACTTGTGCCCCTGTTGTGGTTCAATGTCACTTTAGGTGCCATGGACAAAGTCACCACATCTACTGCTGCGCGTAAGTTTGGAGAGATATGACCAGGTTTCGCAATTGCTAACTGGGTCTTAGTCTACGGGATGAAAAAAGACACCGATCTCACCGGTGACCGATACAGCTGGGTTGGCAGCGCTTTTTACGTAGGTCTAGAAGAAAGACAGCAAGTGTTACAATTTCTAACATGACTGTAGTTTGGATATCTCTTTTGGTGTCTCCCGTCCGGGAGTCTCCTGCAGCGATTTCCCATCGCGAAGCTGATGTTTGTGGCCCAATTGCTTTGGGGTATCATTCTGATTGGCACCGGATTCGCCAACAACTTCGCAACTCTCATTGCTCTCCGAGTCATGCTGGGCGTCTTAGAAGCACCAATTGTCCCTGGCAACTTCTTGGTTCTTGGCATGTGGTACACTCGTCGAGAACAGCCTCTCCGGACAGGTCTTATGTACACTGGCCTTTCCGTGTGCTTCACTGGCCCGTAAGTTCGATATTACTTCTTTATCCAGTCAAGACTCGTTTAACAACTCTCTAGTATCGGATACGGTATTGGCTTCATCGCTGGCGACCACGTATGGAGGTCCATGTTTTGGATCACTGGTGCCATGACTATCGTCTGGGCCGTTGTCATTGGTGTCTTCCTCCCCGACAACCCCGTCAAGACCAAATTCATCAATGAACGCCAAAAGGCTATTCTCGTGGAGCGACTTCGCGCTGACCAGACCGGTGTCGAAAACAAAACTTTCAAGCGCGAGCAGATGATCGAAGCGTTCTTAGACCCAAAGACATGGCTCATGTTCTTCTTCAACATCTGGATCTCGATCCCCAATGGTGGCCTGACTAACTTTTCTCCTCTGATTATCAAGGGCTTGGGCTACACCTCCCAACGCTCAGTGCTGCTCACGATGCCTACCGGAATCATGCAGACCGCCAGCTCATACATGTGCAACGGCGGCGTCTTCCTCTGCGCCAAGTACCTCCCCAAGCACCAGCTCCGCAGCGCCTGGGTAGCCTTCGGAATCATCGTGGGCCTTATCTCCTCCGTATTCCTCTACACGCTGCCCTTACACAACTACAATGGCCGCCTCGCAGCCCTCTACATGTCCTACTTCTACCTTGGGCCCTATATCGTCGCGCTCGGTATCAACACAGCCAACACGGCAGGACACACCAAGAAAGTCACCACCAACGCGCTCATCTTCATCGCTTACTGCGTCTCCAACATCATTGCGCCGCAGTTCTTCAAGGCTGAGCAGGCGCCGCTTTATCCACTGGGTATGGGCGCTATCTTGGGCAGCTATGTGCTAAGTCTGATCACGATTGCGATGTACTGCGGGCACTGCAAGTGGGAGAATACGAGGAGAGATCGGGTTGATCTGGCGAAGGATGCGAGGGTGCATGCGGACACTGACTTCAAGGATTTGACGGATAAGCAGAATCCGCATTTCAGGTATGTGTTTTAAGTCTGGAATAAGGGTGTTGGAGGATGTTGGAGATGATGTGTATACATATGCTCCTTGGGAGATTTATTTTGCGGAATATTTGCGAGCCTTGAGATATGGGAATCTCACGAACGATCTTTTTGAATGAGCCTTGGAATCTTTCTGAACTTTGCGTCGTCACAAGTCCCTGCAACTGTCGTCTACTGTTTCAACCACTTCTATTCAGCAGCTACTACTAGTCTGAGGTCTCCTGGTAGTACCTGCGCAGCTATCCCCCCGAAAGTCAGTCTACCCACTATTGCAAGCTCAACCCCGCAGGACTTTCATCGCAGCTTCTAGATTCTTGATCTCAGCCCCTAGCGTCGATCGGCGACGCTTTGTCTCTGCATCTTCCCCAGCAATCATCTCAAGCTGCTCGTCGTCAAGGCCCATAACCAGCTCCGAGTTGAAGACCTTCAGTGGGCTACCGTCTCCCTCAAGGAGAAAGTGACTGATAACTTGTGTACATACGACATCTACGGATCGCTTTCTAGATACCTTGTAGTAGCTTGCAAGAACGTCCAGAATGTCTTTCCGCTCTTGCTGGGCGTTGTCTTTGTTGGCTACCAAGTTTGACATGCTATTGAGAGGAACGGACTTATAAAGCGTTGAGTCCTTGAGGGTGACAGTGGTAGCCTCGCGTTTCATCGCCTGACTCAATACGAGCCTGTCGCTTCTTCTGAACTTCCGCATTGAAATAATGGTTGTATGTAGACGGTCTAGCGTCTCGTTCGGCGTGCAGCAGAAAGCGGGCTTGCTTCATCGCTTGCACATAAGCCTTACAAAGCTCGTCGATGAGGATAGTCATCCCACAGTTGTTCACGGACCTGCTTCTCGGTGCAGATGTGGGCAAGGAGCCGGCAGATATAGTCGTGGACGAGTGCAATCGATTCGCTGACGTGGGCAAGGACAAGTGGCTCCCATTTCTCGGATTGTTCTCTAAATATGATACCCAGGATCGTGCCCGAGAACTTAAGTGTCAACGTCAGTATGCGTTTCTCTTTTCCACAAGAGTGCTTACCGTTCCTAGTTCTGTAAGACCAGATGAGTGAGTGAAAGATCTTGATTGAGATGATCTATCTACGGACTACTAGCACACTTAATATGGTTGTGCAATACAAAGAGGTAGTAGTTTGTCTAAGACTACTGACAAACAAACGGACATGGTTGCATATACAATGAGGGTTCTAGAAACCAACAAGTTCCGGGCCCCAGTTCGATTGGTACACCTTTTCGATGTGATCGATGATCGAATCACTACTGAACGCCGTTGGTTTCGGGCACCAGTAAACGTTCGTGTCGACGATGTCGTGGAGTTCAGGGTAACTAGAGAGCAGATCCTTGAAGGATATGTTGCCCTCACCGATCTCAGTTAGATCGTGCGCTCTCTCCCCTTCGTCATCCCAATTGACTGAGAATTGCCGCTTGTGGCCTTTCTTCCAGAATTCGTTTGAGAACCGCTCATTAGCCTTCGTAATATTCGTAATCAGCTTCAATCCTAGCAGCTCTGTGAAGACACTTTCGCTGTTATAGTATCCGTTCAAAGCGCACTGGGTAATCGCTTGAAACTTGGATACCAGTCTCCCGAGATACATCCTCTGTGAGCTTTGTTCCGTGCGGGACGGCCTCATACTCTCCAAATCTTCTCGACACTGACGCAACTGCTTTCCAACATCGGCCTTGACATGCGGCAATTCCTTCTTCGAAATGCTCATGAGAAGATCCTGGTGGCAGCCAGTTAGAATGCTCCTACGCACATCTGTCTACGCGTCTCAGCTGGACAAGGTTCACTTCTCAGCTTGTCAAGGTTCACCGGTTGTTTGCCACCGTTGCCACCGTTGCAACCGGTGCCACCTGCAGCCCCTACTCTATTCACTATATAGCCACTCGTTAGCACCTCAATACCACTCATGCTTTCGTCACTAATCCTTTGCCCTTCCTACGCCAGCTGCCACCTGGAGCTGGGTTTTGAGCGATCCAATACCACACCGTCCCGAACTTTCCATTCGTCGCCAACGGGCTTCCCTGAAGAATGTTACTTCCTGGGTAAGCCGCTCCGCCATTGTGGATATTTGATCATGCGCACTACGGTTCTTCACAATACAGTATCCTAACTTCAGCCGGTTCCTCTTCCTGAGAACAAGATCCATAATCGCATCTTGCGTAGCGTTCTCAGTCACTAGATCCGGTTTTGTAAGCACCCCCATCGTTCTCGTTCCGCTCGGATCAGCAACTTCTGCCATTTTAAGAATTTCCTGGGTGGTAATGTCAACATTCGATAGGAGAACAGCGATAATGATGGTCCGGCTGTTCCGCATGTACGACTCCACTATGGTCTTCACCAAAGCAACATCGCTATCCGTGGTAAGAGGCGGAGAAGGGACGCGGAATATGCCGGGCACATCAATCACCGTAATGTGCTCTTGCTCAGGTCCACTGATCTCGATCTTAAGGATATCCTCGCTGAACGTTTGCAGGCCAGACTCGGTGTCATTCACCGTCATCCTGATTCCCATGGCCGTATTCGCCTCCGCGATGATAGTTTTGAGGGCTTCATTCGTAAAATCTGAAATTTTTCGTCTGAAAGCCCGAAGCCGAGCCTCTACCGCCGCAACTGCGCCTTGCCGAGGAATGATAGAGACCACAACCTTCTTCTCGGAATCACGACGACAAGAGGTTTGGGTGGCATAGCGAGTACAAAGACCGGGATCTTGAGGGAATGAGAACTCCGTCAAACTCTCTAAGAGTGAGGACTTGCCAGATGACTGGTCCCCCGCGACCACAAGCTGAGGCAGCTCTATAGTTTTGACATTGATTTCGCGCAGTTTATCAATCTTGTTTAGGAGGGCTTGGCTAGCTAGTCCAGGCGGGCTGTGGTCTCCCCATTTTCAGGAAAGAAGCCAACGTAATATGGACTAACGTACTCCACAAGCGAGCGGCCCACCCAAGCGAGTGGCCCACCTCACAAGCAAATCGCAACATTAAATGCAAATTGCTCCACAACGCCAATAGATATTAACTTAATACGACCTGCAGTCTAATCTACAACAATTTCCTTATCTTTTTGACACGTACGAGAGTTATGTCCTGTCTCGCCGCAGCGCCTGCAGCGCGCCTGCTGCCGTGCACTTCCACCCGGGCGCCTCCTATTTTGACGCATTTCCCCCTCAATTTGTTCATTAGCTTCCTTTTGAGCGATTATATTAGAGCCCTGTGCCTTTGTTAGGACTCCTTGCCTCTGAATTCGCTTTCTTTTGCGCTCTCTACGCTTTGTGGCGGCCT